CACAAATTAACGAACAGGCTCCACAGCCCTACCGATGAAAGCTCCTCAACACAGTTAGTGCTCCCGATTATGATAAATAGGACCACGAGCCCGTGGCTGAGTTTGTAGAGCGTTGAATTTAATAACGCCTGATGATTAGCGGACGCAGAATTGCGGCTTAGGTGCTGCGAAATCAGGTTTGAGCAAGGCTGGCTGACGACAGTAACATAGGCCAGAAGGGGCCATCCCAGTCTCCCCTGTCTTTGTGGGTAATCTCATTCTTATCATGGATTAATCGAAATTAAATCGGCTCAGCAAGAGGTCTTTTTGCTTCAGCACTTGCTTATTCATGCGTACAAACAGGGTGACGACTGGAGCGTAGAGCCTATCCATTTGTTGTTTTGCTCTACCACCGAAGCGCATCATCTGAAACTAAGGACGAGAACCATGCAAGACCGTCTGTGTCCTGTTTATGAGGTGAAAATGGATAGCACTGTAAGCTGAGGGTAGGTCAAGACGGCGATTATCTGATGTGCCCCTTGACTGGCAGACCTCGCGCAGGCTCTTTTGTTTTGGGTCTTTTCAACTACTTGCTCATTGCCGGGAGACAATCTGCGACCTTGGTCGGGGCTTCATGCGAACGCGCGTTGTTGCACATCGCCCCGATGGTGCTCTTGCAGGCTGCAATACCTGGAAGAGCATTTACGCTAATCAGGCTAGCAGGCACTTTTAGACATTCCTCTGGATGGCAGCTGCCCATTTGGTTACAAGAGCAGGTTGCGACTTGTAACCTCTGGTCAGTATGTTTGAAGCAGTCTTCGGGCAGGCATCTGAGCTACTTTCAACATGAGTTGGTTACTGAATGCTCCACGTTTGACTTTCGATCCATCCTTGGTGTTTGTACGTCCGTTTGTCCGTTGCCCTGCTGAGGTTTCCTCCACTGAAGATGAGACAATGCTAGAGATGCTTGCGTTCGCTCGTCTTCTTAGCCTCCTCGCCGCAAGACGACACACTGGGTGTGGCAATTGAAATTAGGAGGCACAACCCAGCGCTGACTGCTGCAGATTTCTCGTCAGGACCCTACCACAACAGAACAGACGGTAACTGCTACAAAATTACTGCAGGAGACTTTCTGCCGGCGACTAATCTCGTGCATAGCTTCGCATAAGACACACTGTAACAACTCTACAATCAACCTGATGATCATCAAAGAGCAGGGTAAGAATCAAAAATTGTGATTTGTCCAACAAACAATGAGGAGAAGCCTCCCTCTGGGCAATATTCTCTTTTTAACGGGGCGTCGAAGTGCGACATGAATTAACGACTGGTGATAAGTGAAACAGGGCATGTCACTATGGACGGCCTTTTACAGTAGGTGGCGCAAGTCAGTAGGTATGTGTAAAGTAACAAGAAATTCCAACCAGTCGGAGGCCGAACAAAGGCATCTACCGAAATATCCAGATAAAACCTTAAGTAAATTCAACTATTGAAAAGGCAAATGCATTAATGAATGGTATAAGGTCCGACAGGGCAACGGGCGCGTGGCCCGGTGGGTAAAGGCGTGGACTTCTAAACCAACAGGTCGCGAGTTCGAGGCTCGGGTGTTCCACACTTCGGGCTTGGATATGGCTAGCTGACGACGGCTAATAAGCCAGAAATGGCCATTCCAGTCTCCCTTGTCTTTGTCGGTAATACTATTCTGCCTATATATCATGCGCCACTGTGCGGCTGCTGGTTGGGCTCGAGAAAGAGAGAGCCCTTAAGGCACAACGGAACAAGTGAGTTTCGTAAGAACGATCGGTGAGCGCCCCCTATCACGGTCCGTTCCGGATGGGTCAGTAGGGGGCAAAGCGATAGTGGATGGGGACAGTCTCCTCTTCTTTACAGCCTGCGGATTAACTTCAGTATCCGAACATGGAACATCCAACATTCTCAACAGACAGTCTCAAACACATCAGTGTTGGACGTTAGGGGGAAGAGTAGAAGCAGGTGCTGAAGATAAAGTTTATCATAACAGAGTATGTAAGGGTGTGTAAACGTCAGTAGAAAAAGAAAAAGGAATTGAACTCCGGAACTAACAAAATAGAAATCGTTGGGGAAATATGTACATATATCAGAGTAAAGTGTTAACCCGGAAAAAGACAGAAGGTGGAAAACAAAAGGTAACAACGATCAGCAAAAGAACAAACGTATAACAAACTAGGGCGGAACTTATCGGGTTTGCAGATCACTGACATTGATCGTGCCCATGTGACGAGCCTATTCCGGGATTCTTTACAAGATGAGTATTCACTTGTCTATTAAAACAAGCTCAGAACCCTGGGCTCTATTGGGGTTGTTACAATGTGAATGCTCCCCCTCCCCATCAATACAAGCGCCTTTGAGATAAATTCCAATAGATTTGCCCATTTTGGCGCCAATGCCCTAACATTAACACTAATTCAAATCCTATATTTAACCCTAACTTCAACACACGTGGAACTTGGCGTGAAGACACCCGTATTATGGTGGATTCCTATTCCCTATCCGGTTGGGGAGAGGGGCACCTAAGCGATACTTGCCGAAACCAGAATTGTTAAATTATCTTATATTCGTGTCAAGTGAACAGACTTAATTTCGGTGAATATTCCAATGTTACACTTCAAAGATCAATTCAGCAAACATGTGTTTTGGTAATTCACCATCAGGCCCTGCTGTCGCATAGAGAATGAAAATATGAGAAGTTGATAGGGTTTATAAGTGTCTCATAGGTTACTAACACTCATCGTACCCATGCCAACCGCATGAAGAGGTCGACGTATTGTTGTCATTAGGGGAAGGGTAGTTATCATCGACTGTGAGTAATGTTTGTAAGTCGAGTACGTGGAGTACACATCACTTTCCTCAGGGGATTGGTGCGGCGTGCGCTCACCACCTGGGATCAGTGTCGGTCACGTCAGATTGAACGCCTGTGACAACGTCTTTTGACAACACAGCGCTGCATTCGCCGGCCGTATAGTCACTCCCTCGGCCGTTGGTAACACCCGTTGGTGTAGGCTTTTAGACAGGTTTGCTGGTGTCCGATAGGTAACCTGAAAGGCTTCTTTGGCATTCATCTGGCGATTCGTATCGACTGGATCTGCAAGAATAGAACTCGAAATCGATATTTTTGCCTCTGTATAGCCAGGCCGATATGTGCTCACTTAGTCTATTTTCCAGACGCCACATGAGTAGTTCTTTTAGGTCTTCACTGACATTCCTGACATGCCTATCAGACAGTTTGTATCCCGAATAACTACGCCCGTGACGTTATTCTTGCATGACTACTCGATACGAATTACCGAGTCGACGTCATCGTAATGCAAGTGGCTGCCGACCTGCGACGGTCTCCAATGTCGGCCAAAACTAAATACCCACCGCATGTTTATGCACCCAGAGCGCCGGCTATCCCACAGAGGCATACCAATAATTATTCACGCGGGTAGCTCGCTGAGTCCGCTCAGTCAACTATCTCAGCATAACTCACAACTGCCAGCGGACAAGGATGAGGAGGTATGAAATAAAACAAGATAACAGGATGTGCGGTCCTAAAGGCGCATTTCACAGCTTCAAAACGGATACGAACAATTAGGAGTCCTGAAGAGAAGACATCCCAAGAGAAAATTCCGACCCAACAATCGGACACCTACTTTCGTTCTACGATATCATCAACTGTCAGTACGGCAGAATTCAGCAATTGCCAGGAGGTCAACAAGGAGAGTCCCGTATGAGACAGACAGACACACA